CAAAGCAAGATAGTTTAAGGCATGATTTGTCATAAATGCGATGATTAATGCTTACAGCTCATGAAAACCCCAAATCCACAATCTCAGTAACTTAGAATATTGTGAAAAGGTGCAATATTCTAGGCTCACGGTGTCCCACTCTAATCAGCTAAGTAAGCCGTAATACCTGCAAAGGGTTTCTGAGCCTTTAAATGATCTCTCAGTCTGGTTCAGTAGGAATCACAATCATGGGGAAGACTGCTGACCTGACAGTTGTGCAGAAAACCATCATTGACACCCTCCATAAGGAGGGAAAGCCTCAAAAGGTAATTGCGAAGGAAGTTGGATGTTCCCAAAGTGCTGTATCAAAGCACATTAATAGAACGTTATGTGGAAGGGAAAAGTGTGGAAGAAAAAGATGCACAAGCAGCAAGGATGATCTCAGCCTAGAGGGGATTGTCAGGAAAAGGCCACTCAAAAGTGTTGGGGACTTTCACAATGATTGGACAGAGGCTGGAGTCAGTGCATCAAGTGCCACCACACACAGACAGATCCTGGACATGGGCTTCAGATGTCGAATTTCTCTTGTCAAGCCGCTCCTGAACAACAAACAACGTCAGAAGCGTCTTACCTGGGCTAAAGAAAAACAGACCTGGTCTGTTGCTCAGTGGTCCAAAGTCCTCTTTTCTGATGAGAGCAACTTTTGCATCTCATTTGGAAACCAAGGACCCAGAGTCTGGAGGAAGAATGGAGAGGCACACACTGCAAGATGCGTGAAGTCCAGTGTGAAGTTTCCACAGTTTGTGTTGATTTGGGGAGCCATGTCATCTGCAGGTGTTGGTCCACAGTGCTTCATTAAGTCCAGGGTCAACGCAGCCGTCTACCAGGAGATTTTGGAGCACTTCATGCTTCCTTCCGCAGACGAGCTTTATGGGGATGCTGACTACATTTTCCAGTAGCACCTGCCCACACTGCCAAAAGCACCAAAGCCTGGTTCTATGACCGTGGGATTATTGTGCTTGATTGGCCAGCAAACTCGCCTGACCTGAACCCCATAGAGAATATATGGGGCATTGCCAAGAGAAAGATGAGAGACATGAGACCGAACAATGCAGAAAAGCTGAAGGCTGCTATTGAAGCATCCTGGTCTTCCATAACACCTCAGCAGTGCCACAGGCTGATAGCTTCCATGCCACGCCGCAGTCAGGCAGTAATTGCTGCAAAAGGGGCCTAAATCAAGTCCATATGCGTGCTTATACTTTTCAGAGGTCCGATATTGTTCTATGTACACTACTTGTTTTATTGACTGCATGTAATATTCTAATTTACTGAGATTGTAGATTTGGGGTTTTCATGAGCTGTAAGCCATAATCATCGCACTTATGACAAATCACAGGCAAAAACAATCTATAAGCATAAAAACACAAAAGACCAAAAATATGGTGTAGCATATTGGAACATCAGAAAATGCGCTTTGTGACAAAGTAGCACTCACAACATATCGGTGAAAAGTAGACACATAGGAATCTTTGGAGTTAGAAGAGTTCCAGATTTCTTCATGTAACACCTTTATTGAGAAGGAGGGACAAACACATAGTGCACCAATAATATTCAAAAAGCTAAATTTATTATGATTGCACTCACAGAATAATGGTAAAAATCCAGCATGTCAAAGCACTCAAGTGGACGTTGCCAGTGCTATTTACTATTTGGTTTACTATTTTGTTAACCCCTTAAGACCTCAGGGCGTTCTATGGTATCCTTATTTAGATGGCTCTAAACGCCACAGGGCGACATAGAACTTTTGTACTTACACACCGGCGATCACGGTATGGGGATTTACCTGGGAGCCCAGGGAGTCCCCCTCCGTCCTCTTCGGACCCCCTGGGCCATGTGATCGCGAGGACCCCGCGATCACATGGACTGCATTGCCAGCAGGGGGAGTGCCTGTAATGACAGGTACTCCCCCTGCTGCCTGGAAATAAAATTAAAAGATGTTAAAACAGTGTAAAATTAAATACTATATACTTAGATCATATATATATATTTATTATATATATGATCTAAGTATATATACACATATACACACATACACATAAATACACATACACTGTCTACGTGTAGTTTATTAATATATACATAATTATATATATATATATTAATATCAAAATACACGTACAATGATATTGATTAAATATATATATAATTTTCATTATATATATATTTATATATAATAATAAATAAATAAATATATAAATACATTAAAAAATAAAATGTAAAAAATAATAAAAAATAAATAGATAAAAAATATATATACATGCGTAATTTCGTTCTAACTGTATTTTAAAATTAATATATATATAGTGATATCAAAATACATGTAGAACGAAATAATATATATCTATATACATAAGTATATACGTATATATCACTTTATATATACCTATATATAAATAAAAATAATAAAACAAATTATATACATATATATATATATATATATATATACACACATATATATATATATAATAATTCTATGTATATATTTATGTAATAATTTTACATAATCAGGTCCTTTTATTAATCACAATTTGCAGTACCTGCCTGACAACCCAGGCCAAAAGTTCAGGGAATTTAATTTTCTAGCACTATATTTAACCCTATAACTTTCCAAGACACCATAAAACCTGTACATGGGGGGTACTGTTTTACTCGGAAGACTTCGCTGAACACAAATATTTGTGTTTCAAAACCGTAAAATGTATTACACTGACGATATCATCAGTGACAGTGAATTTCTTTGCATTTTTCACACACAAACGGCACTTACACTGACGATATAATTGTTTTGATACGTTTTATTGTTTTAAAACACTAATATTTGTGTTCAGCGAAGTCTCCAGAGTATAACAGTACCCCCCATGTACAGGTTTTATGGTTTTTTCAAAAGTTACAGAGTCAAATATAAGGCTTGCCTTTGAGACCGTACGGTAGCCCAGGAATGAAAATTACCCCCATGATGGCATACCATTTGCAATAGTAGACAACCCAGGGTATTGCAAATGGGGTATGTTCAGTCTTTTTTAGTAGCCACTTAGTCACAAACACTGGCGTTCAAATTAGTTTTTTGCATTTTCAAATATTAACAATAACTTTGGCCAGTGTTTGTGACCAAGTGGCTACTAAAAAAGACTGGACATACTCCATTTGCAATACCTTGGGTTGACTACTTTTGCAAATGGTATGTCATCATGGGGGTAATTCTTAGTCCTAGGCTACCATATGGTCTCAAAGGCAAACTAACCAATCTGGCAAATTTCAATGTGAAAAAACTGAAATATGTAACACGCTATATTTGCCCCTGTAACTTCCCAAAACACCATAAAACCTGTACATGGGGGGTACTGTTTTACACATGAGACATCGCTGAATACAAATATGTGTATGTTACTGCAGTAAAAGCAAACAGTATTTTGACATTCACAGTTAAAATGTCACGTAGAACTAAAAAAAAATTTAAAATTCTTATTTTCTCCCATTTTTTTATATTTTTTTTCATATTAAATTATGTTCCATACCTAAATAATTGATGTTAAACAAAAGCCCTGTTTCCCCTGAATAAAATGATATATAATAAGTGTGGGTGCTTTTAATATGAAAAAGGTGAATTACGGTTTTACACAATCTTTCCTATGGATGCTGGCATCTTCTCACTGTGATTTTCACAGTGAGAAGCACGCAAGCGCCTCTAGCGGCTGTCAAGAGACATCCACTAGAGGCTGGATTAACCCTAACATAAACATAGCAATTTCTTTGAAACTGCTATGTTTATTAAAAAAAAGGGTTAACCCTAGCTGGACCTGGCACCCAGACCACTTCATTAAGCTGAAGTGGTCTGGGTGCCTATAGTGGTCCTTTAAAGGGTTAATCATCTGGCTGTGTTTACAACAAGGAAAGCGTCACTGACAAGGACCACTTAAGTCCTTTGACATGCTGGATTTTTACCATTATTCTGTGAGTGCAATCATAATAAATTTTGCTTTTTGAATATTATTGGTGCACTATGTGTTTGTCCCTCCTTCTCATTTAAGGTGTTACATGAAAAAATCTGGAACTCTTCTAACTGCAAAGATTCCCATGTGTCTACTTTTCACCACTATCTTGTGAGTGCTAATTTGTCACAAAGCGCATTTTCTGGTGTTCCAATATACTACACCATATTTTTGGTCTTTTGTGTTTTTATGCTTATAGATTGCTTTTGCCTGTACTTTTTCAAGAACAGATTAGAGGGATCTTCTTACAATCTAGCAGAGGGTAATTTTTATTATACATATATTTACCCACTGGGGAGCACGTGTGTTATATTGCCTTTCCCCCCCCTGTATTTATGACAAATCACGGCTTGAACTATCTTGCTTTGCATGTAATGCGTCTATCTCATATATTAGTTTCCCTTTTTACGTTGCATTACTGAAATAAATGAACTTTTGCGCGATATTCAAATTTTTCCGAGTATCGCCTGTATATCTGATAAGCTCTTCAATCATGGATTGTAAATAATAATATTAAAACATGGTTAGAGTTTCCCTTTTAAGACCTTGTCATACCTAAACATTATTTATACAATATTTATATAAATTAATATAAAAACACAATAAAACTGGGCAAGAATAAAGAAGGGGGGATTGGCACAAAATAAAAATCACTGTCCCTCTCCCAGAAGGCTAATTATAGCTCATTACTCTCTAACTATACACAGTATCCATCTTTAATCACCCCCAGCCAGCCCCCAGCCAGCCCCCAGCCAGCCCCTAGCCAGCCCCCAGCCTGCCCCTATCCTGTTCCCTCTCTACAGTCAGTGTCTAGCAGACAGGACTCATTAAATGGACTATAGCCCCGCCCCCTTCTCATTCTCTTTCCGGGTTCAATGGGCTTTCAGGAAAGTTGGCTTCGTATCCATGGCAACTGCCAACGGCAGCCTCGAGCATGTGATTGGCCAATGTAGGAGACACCAAACTATCCGGCGCTCCTATTGGTCCGCAGCTGCTCCGGATCCCGGAATCAAATCTAAACTACAGACGTGACGCTCAGCTGGAGCCGTGCAGGTAACAGTGTATAATAACATGTAAACATTCTATTATAGTATACTCACTGTGTATAATAACATGTAAACATTCTATTATAGTATACTCACTGTGTATAATAACATGTAAACATTCTATTATAGTATACTCACTGTGTATAATAACATGTAAACATTCTATTATAGTATACTCACTGTGTATAATAACATGTAAACATTCTATTATAGTATACTCACTGTGTGTAATAACATGTAAACATTCTATTATAGTATACTCACTGTGTGTAATAACATGTAAACATTCTATTATAGTATACTCACTGTGTGTAATAACATGTAAACATTCTATTATAGTATACTCACTGTGTGTAATAACATGTAAACATTCTATTATAGTATACTCACTGTGTGTAATAACATGTAAACATTCTATTATAGTATACTCACTGTGTGTAATAACATGTAAACATTCTATTATAGTATACTCACTGTGTGTAATAACATGTAAACATTCTATTATAGTATACTCACTGTGTGTAATAACATGTAAACATTCTATTATAGTATACTCACTGTGTGTAATAACATGTAAACATTCTATTATAGTATACTCACAGTGTGTAATAACATGCAAACATTCTATTATAGTATACTCACAGTGTGTAATAACATGCAAACATTCTATTATAGTATACTCACTGTGTGTAATAACATGCAAACATTCTATTATAGTATACTCACTGTGTGTAATAACATGTAAACATTCTATTATATTATACTCACTGTGTGTAATAACATGTAAACATTCTATTATATTGTACTCACAGTGTATAATAACATGTAAACATTCTATTATATTGTACTCACAGTGTATAATAACATGTAAACATTCTATTATATTGTACTCACAGTGTATAATAACATGTAAACATTCTATTATATTATACTCACTGTGTATAATAACATGTAAACATTCTATTATATTATACTCACTGTGTATAATAACATGTAAACATTCTATTATATTATACTCACTGTGTATAATAACATGTAAACATTCTATTATATTATACTCACAGTGTATAATAACATGTAAACATTATATTATACTTACTGTGTATAATAACATGTAAACATTATATTATACTCACTGTGTATAATAACATGTAAACATTATGTTATATTGTACTCACAGTGTATAATAACATGTAAATATTATATTATACTCACAGTGTATAATAACATGTAAACAATATATTATACTCAGTGTATAATAACATGTAAACATTATATTATATTATACTCACTGTGTACAATAACGTGTGTGTGTGTGTGTGTATATATATATATATATATATATATATATAAATAATATTATACCAAATACAATGTACTCACTGTGTACAATAACATGTATATATATTATACCATAAACAATGTACTCACTGTGTACAATAACATGTGTATATATATTATACCATAAACAATGTACTCACCGTGTACAATAACGTGTGTGTATATATATTATACCATATACAATGTACTCACTGTGTACAATAACATGTATAATGTATTTACTGCAATACAATAAGAACATTGAGCGCATTTACTTTATACTATGACATGTACAATTTGTAAATTATACAATGCCATGTTTGTAGTGTACTCACTCTATACAATTTATATACAATTTATTTACTGAATGCTACAAAATATGTAGAATTTATATACTGTATGCACTATACTGTATATACTGTATGACGTGCACACACTGTATACAATAAAAAGTACGGAGTGTACTCACGGTATATAATAACATGTATGGAGAGTACGCGCTGTATACAATAAGTGTTGAATACATTTGCTGTATATAGTAATATGTATGCAGCGTACTTCCATTTTATCTGTGAGAAGTCATATATTAGAATTGAAACCCAAATGACAAAATTTAGGTTAAAAAAGCCAAGGAGGGATTATAGATAACTTAAAATTTTTTCCAAATCTGACTTCACCCGAATGCTGTCAGTAGGATTTATTGAGCTGAAATACTGATGTTGGTAAATGAACAACTGAAATTGTGAACGGTCAGAGATTTAAAATAAAAAAAAATAAAAAAAATTCCAGGAGTTTAATCTTTAAACACCAAATTATAGGAAATCATTTTACAAAGTTTAGGCAAGAAATGGTTGATTTATAAACATTCTCCAACCCTACCATAATCCCACCTTGGTTATTTGTGCCTCAGTTTTCTAATTTTGAATTCCATGCAATACAATTTGATGTTTAGCTAATAAACCATATCTTTCAGTAAAGCATTAAAAGGACACTCTACACCATAACACCTTCAGTATTCCCCAGTGGGCGATAACAAGTGTCCCATGGCACCTTCCCAGGGGTAACTGTCAAAAAGTTTGACATTTACCTGCTAGTGTTGGGCACCCATGGACCTTCTGATATGCACAACCAATCAGCACGCCACTAAAGCAGTGTGCTAATACATAAGTATGAGCAACTGATTTAGCATAGCCGTGTAGCATTGAAGGACTGAGGGCACCCAACAGCCAGGTGGATGCCAAACTGTTTGTAAATGGTTCGGTTGCTTACCTAAAGTGTGCTCTTTAAGTATCTTTAACATTAAAAAGAAAAAAAAATCAAACTTTTGTGTTTTTATATATTTTAGGAATCTGAAGGAGATGGAAAACTTGGGAGAGGAAGATTTCAGTCTATCAATGTAAGTCTTTAAATTGAACAGTGCTCCAAATATTCCAAGTCCTAGCATTCAGTTTATATTTAAAATCCACCTCATTTAGTTACCACATTCTATTGGAAGGGATACCTGGGTCCCTGAGGAGCAGTCTTCCCTTGCTTCTTGGTGAAGTTATGGTACAGGACATAGATGTATGTGACAGTGCTGCCTCTTGTATTATACCCATTACACAGTACCACAAAGGAACCAGAGAGAGGGGTGTCTAGTGATCCTACCACACACTGTATCTGCATCTGGAGGAAAATGCCCTCTCATGGCTGTAGAAATCCAAGTCTACTGTTCTAGTTTCCATTTGCTCATAATGATTAGAAATTTGGAGCCCAGAGATGAATGTTTATACATTTTACAAACTATTTAAAATGCTTGTAAAGGGACTAAGTATTAGTAATAGGACAGCATAAATCAGGACACCCACCTCTGGTACTCCGTTCCGAGGTGTTCGCCAACCTCACACAAATCCAATAACAGTAAAGGGAAACAGCACCAATGAGACAGTGTAAAATTCAAAACTTTATTCTGGCATATTTTTCAATAGATTTCTGCTTTGATTATGTCATGATTAACCTCTTCTTTTCCAAGCACTTTGCCAAAAAAAATAAAAAACACGCTATAGTCCGAATATTTAGGGTGTCCTGGAAAGAAATGTTCAAATTTTATATTTTTGTTTTAGTATGCTTAGACAGTGCATTTTTTCATGGAAACGCAAACAAAAATTGCTAAGCTGAAACACGGTGTTATAATATTACAATATACGTTGTCACTTTGCCTATACTGTATCACCCTCATTGTAGCCACATTGCCTCTTAGGACACACAATAATACGTGCAAAACCATATACCTATTGATACATGCACACATATACACACTCATGCGCAAACATAGAGATACCAGAAAGACAAACACAGGATACTCAGTGCCACACACGGATCTACATTTGCAGTATTATATATATATACATATGCATACCCACACATGCACACTCACACTCACTACTCTTCCCTGCCAACCACCCTCCGATTACCTTCTTTTCTGGCAGTGAGGGTGGCTGTTATGTCCAGCTTTTCCAGCAGGCTTTCACATTGTGATTCAACGAGAGCAGTAGAGAATGTGATGTCATGTGACATCCTCTCGCCGCTCTCCGTGAATACAGCTGCTGCTAATTATTTTACTTATATAAAAACATTTGAAAAATGGTTATCACCTGCACTGGCCAGATGTTGATTACATTACATGAAAGCTTCAGTGACATAGCCGGTTATCTGCCCAGTAGCAAAGCACTCCACGACAAGACGTTGTGTGCACAATTATAATGTATCTGTAGTATCTTCTCGTGTGTTGGTAGGAGAATTTATAGATACAGTTATTGGGTTAAAATGGGTGCACTGTCATGTTTTTTCATCACAGACCACCTTTAAAAAAACTATGTGGTAAAAAGGGCCACCCAAAAAAGGTAACTACTTGTCTTGAGAGTTCCCCTTGGTGCTGTTGTTAGTTGTTTTGTCTACAAGCAAACCTGACACACACCCAGACAGCAGGTGTTTAAAGGATAAGTAGTGTAACTCCCAGTTCCGTTCATCAGATTGGATGAGCAGTTTTGATGTGTATACAGATAGCAACCATATCATGACTTCTATCAGTTTACCCTGTAGCATGGTTGCATAGTTATCTAGGCTGAAAAAAGACTTGCGTTCGTTAAGTTCAGCCCTAACATATCTGTATCTGTTAATCCATTATTATTGCTGAAAACCCCAATTTGAAGTGATTTGAAGTGATTTCCAAGTTTGCCACAACTTCAAGGGAAAAAATCCAGTCCGATTTCTCTTTGGATCAACAAGATGTTAACTAACCTATTAACTATTATATCTTTAAATATTTAGTTTTTCAAAAAAAAACATCCAGACCATTGATTTAAAAAGTGTACAGAATCTGACAAGCAAGCTTTTCATACACAGAAATCCACATCTTTAAAGTTTAGTGGCCCAGGTTGTGCTAAGGTCCATGGCTCAGCTGTCCTAGGTGAGAGAAAGCTCAGACCAAGTTGTACATGCGGGGTGCATACAGTGTATGCTAAATTATGTTAAAATAGATGTAGAACTCTCATTCGGATCTGGCTGATTGAAAGGAGTCAGAAGTGGCTTTAACCCAGTAAAAAAAGCAACTGTCTCGGATCTGGCAGTGTTTCCTGATTAAACGCTGCATAGACAGTTATTGCATTATCACCACTTAAACAAGCAGAAGTGCTTATAATTCTAAGAGTATACCTTTTTAAGTACATGGTTGATATCTGTCCAAAATGGTTATATAAATCTGCTTCACAATTATGAGTATTATAAGTCACGTTTTCACAAATTAAATACATAATACAGTATTGTATAGTACTGTGTAGTAATATAGGTATTATTCTAGCCTAGAATAATTATTCTATTTCTTTTATTTCAGATCTTCCCCTAAAGATGCAGAATTTGACTCTGTGGTTGGACATTTGGAAGAGATTATAATGGGTAAATCTAATTTAAATTAACATGTTTCTTTAGTGTGGCTACTTCCAGAAGTCGCAATTATGTGTTTGGAATGTGGGTTTGTATAGAATGTAATGATTGGACTGGAATCAGAATTTGTAATGAGAGTGCTGTCTTTATCTAGAACTATACAAACTGACAGGTAACCAAACAAATCAGGAGCTCAGGAAGACCTCTAATCATATCAATAAATATTATTCAGCAATCCACCAAAATAAAACTGGCAATATTTCACACTGATTGCTTAATTTATTTATAAAAGTGCCTATTTTTAAAAAGAGGTGCCATTAAAATGGAATGATCCTTACCTATAGAGCACTTAAGCAAGCTGAAGTGCTTTATGGGTGTGGAGTAGTGCGTTAGTGCTTCTCATTGAGAAGCATTCTGTTTGCCAAGATCAGTAGTGCTGGTCTCCTGGCTAGCAGAGTGGAGCTGCAGCAGGTGCCTTCTCATCATTGGATTAGGGTAAGGTAACTTTTTATTTCAGGGGAAAAAAGGGAACCCAGTAATCTAAACTGTGAATACTGTCAAATATTGTGATAATGCTGGAGTGTTACTTTAATAATATATTATATAGCTTTGTAACGTTGGTGTTCTTTTAAGTGCTTGGTACTGGAGGAGTTAAAGGAACACTCTAAGCACCATAACCACTGAAGCCTGCAGTAGTTATTATGGTGCTACTGGTAGACTATGAAAAATTGATGTCCTGGTGGTAAACTGCATGAAAATAGTAAGAGGACTTTAATTGGCACTTTACAGAAGGATATCACAAAAGAAAACTACCCACACCTCTTAACGCATTTTGGACTATTCAGTCCTTAATCATAATAATATTGGCATGGGATAATCTGCTGTGATATATTTTCTAAGCAGTGGTGGGCTGCAAAAGAAGTTACTGGAATGAGCTAAGCTAGTATTGCACAACCTTGGCTCTTCAGCTCTTTCGTAGAGAATTGCGGGAGTCAAAAGGCTGAATTTAAAAATAAATAAATAGATTTTTTACTAATAGCCCTGTAGAGATATAATCTCTAGCTTCCTTTTGAAGCACTTGATAAAACAGCTTGGAGCCCCATCTGCATATTAGGATGCCACACTGTCTTGAGTTCTGTGTGGCACATGTACCCGGTCAGGTGACCTTTTAGAGGGGCAGTGAATAGATATGCAGATACCATGGGGATACAATATCACAATGATATTTACCAAGAAAAGGACTTTGTAGGAAATACCCAGTCTGCACTGCTTATTTATAGCTGGTACGGAGGGAGCTGGATGGGGTGACGGAGTTGCAGGGAGTCCACAGGAGGAAAAGATGGAGACCGATATGGATGGGAGATGGCTGAGTTGGTATAAAGGAATACATGGGAGCTGGCAGGAAGCCATGGTTGAGGGCTAACCATTTCTCATCCACCTAGAACCTCCACATGTGTGCGGATGCTTTCACATAGTTTTGCTAGTGCCACGCAATTCTAATCCCTAAAAAAATATTCTGCCTGTTTTTTCCAAACCACTAGAACCCATCAGTCTTTCCGTAAATTGGCAACGTCGCTGTGCTATGAATAGACCCCTTTAAATCCAAATTACAGCTTTAGCCTTCATTGGTCGTGCAATCTCCTATATGTCTCGTTGATTCTATTGCAACTGATCATACAGTGCGCTCTTAGATGTAATGCTGTAAACAATAGCCGGCCCAGAAACACAGCGTTTGTTTTTTCCCTTTCTTTTTGTTTTTTTGGCTCCTTCCAGCTGGTAAATTTTGATACTTATCCCAAATGTAACTGCACATTGCGTTCACACACATTCTTTCCGCGGTGACAGGTGTCTGGCTCACAGCACGTCCTGGCTAAATAATTCCAGTATTGTGGCAAGATCCTTCTTTGTTCTTTTGCAGCTGGCATGCTGTAAACTGCTTATTATTCTGCTTTATTTCTAGTGTCAACGTATTCCCTAGTCCTGCAATATTAATTTACTGCTGAAAGAAAACACATATTTCCTTTATTGTTTGATACAATGGCACAAAAGCTAAGCAAACAAAATGGAATTTGTGAGAGTATATTTTCCAACACACCTGACGTGTTTCAGGGACATATTCTTATTTTAAAATCTTACCAGTTTCTTATAAACCTATTATTTAGGCACTTTTTGCACAGTCACTATTGTAAGACGTGCTGCAACTCTAAATCCCTTCATTCTCCTGTGCTTGTGGGGAGTCTTGCTTTCAATATATATAATATTTTTTAGGTTCTATCAAAGTCTGAAAACATTTACACCAGGGGTGCCCAAAAAGGAGATCCCCAGATGTTTAAAGGATCACTATAGGGTCAGGAATACAGGTTTGCCAAGTGCCAAGCTCACCATTTAGGTGGCTAGTCCCCTCTTAGCCCCTCTATAAAAGTTTAAAACTCACCTTATTTCCAGTGCCGTGCGGCTCCGCCCCTTTGTGACATCATCAAAATGGACGATTTTTAGCCAATCCAATGCTTTCGGCTAAAATTGGCACGGGGAAATCAATGCATCTCTGTGAGGAAAATTCAGCGTCTCCGTGCAGAGCGTGGGGACGCTGAACGGCAGGGCTACTTACTGTGCAGCCCTGAGCCATGAAGCCCCTCCATTGGCCATCTAAGTAGTGGCCACTTGGAGGTGACCCTAGGGGCTATGTAAACACTGCCTTTTCTCTGAAAAGGCAGTGTTTGCATGAAAATGCCTGAAGGGAGCTATTATACTCACCAGAACAAATACATTAAGCCGTGGTTGTTCTGGTGACCATAGTGTCCCTTTAATAACTACAGCTTCCATGATGCTTTGCAAAGCATCATTGGAGTTGTAGTTCTTCAACATTTGGGGATCTACTTTTTTGGGCACCCATGATTTAGATGTACAATAATCTTTTACACAGGTAACGAGCTGAGATTAGGAGCACTGCCTTTAAGAGAGTGCTCCTAATCTCAGCTCGTTACCTGTATAAAAGATATATATATATCTATCTCATCATAGTGTAACCCTATACAGGTTACGAGTGTGCCCCTCCTAAAGGGATGGTTAATGGGGCCTAGAAAATACATGGTTCCGGGACTCGGTCCAACCTGTGGGCCCAAGGAGGTTGCCTAGGGTCACCTTATGGTTCAGCCTGCTTTAGGATTTAGCCAAGAGTGGCTTTGGTAATGGAGCCTGATTTAACTTGTCAGTCATAAAGAAACAGAGATTAAAGCTGTTTCCAGGTGGCATTACCCATTGATACACCTTTACAAAAATCTAAATAGATGATTTGTCCTGTAAGTTGGATACTATGTGATACTCCCGCTTTCATGTCAGTCTTCTCTTGGATAAGTTCTGAAATACTCCTTTACTACCCGCTGTTGTGATAGTTACTACACTTGTCAGATTTTGGCACTCCGTAATGACCCATCCCAATACTATTATCCAATGTTTAGATCTCTATCTTTTTAGTACAGTAATTCAATGTTTCTTCTTAAGGTTGGTTCTAGAACTGTGGTTTATAGCAATGTACTTTGTTCTATATTTCTCCCACATGGTAATGGATGTAGTACAGCCTTCCTACTTGCATGTATTTGATGTTTTTATGACTTAAATAGTTTTCTTGATACATCAGTTTCTACCACTGTTAAAGAAATCCTAATGTTTCTGTTTAGACGATGAGTTCCAGCTGCTACAGAGAGGTTTTATGGACAAGTATTATAATGAATTTGAAGATACAGAAGAAAACAAGCTGACGTACACACCTATTTTTAATGAATATGTAAGTGGGCTTTTTATTCATATTTATTTTTATATCTGTAACAATTAAAGAGGCACTCCATACACCATGAGACTTCAGTGAGATGAAGTTGTTATGATGTCTGGAAGTCGTGGGATTAAACTCTGAGGGCATGCTGTCCTCTAGGCCTCTCAGCTGACACTGGTAGGCTATTACTGGCCACTCGTTCACAGAAATGCTTTAGAAAGGTACTCAATGGAAGTAGCACAGCTAATTCCAGATTTTATCTCCTATAAATATGGACATTCACATGTAGTGCCAAAAAAACAAACCCTTTTTCCTGGCACTATAGGGTTATTAGGTCCCCCCCTCCCTCAGGGCCCCCTTCGCGTTCTGTAATACAGAGCTTACCTTAATCCAGCTCCTGGCTTCCTCGGCGCTGGTGACCTCACCGCCTCTTGTCGGCGTCATCTCCGAATGTGCATGCGCGGCAAGAGAAGCAAGCGCATTCAAACCGCCCATAGGAAAGCATTACTCAATGCTTTCCTATGGACGTCAGCGTCATCTCAGTGTGATTTTCACACTGAGAATCGCGGAAGCGCCGCTAGTGGCTGTCAGGGAGACAGCCACTAGAAGCTGGATTAACCCTCAATGAAAACATAGCAGTTTCTCTGAAACTTCTATGTTTACAGCTGCAGGGTTAAAACTAGGGGGACCTGGCACCCAGACCACTTCATTGAGCTGAAGTTTTCTGGGTGCCTAGAGTGGTCCTTTTAAGGACCAGGGCTCTTGGAGATGTGACGCCTTTGTGTGTGACTACAGCTTTTACCACAATTTCACCCTTTCTATTTAAGCACACTCATACATATTATAGATCATTTCCATACATATTATAGATCATTTTTTAAAGGAGAAATATAGCTTTTGTTTGATACCCTAAATAAAAAATTCTCCCCACAGCTTACCTTTAGTAATTTCTACATAATAAGCGCAACATAGATTCTCTAATTATTCCTGATTGAAATTCTAGACCTATTGGGCATTTTAACAATCTAGACATATTGGCCATTTTTATAAGTTAAAAACATTTTTTTTTTATAAGTTATAAAACAAATATTGAAAGGAGTGAATTAAATATTAAAGCTAAAGCGTGCAAAATTTAGCATGCTGAGATTACAACTTTTACAGCAGTCACAAAATCCAAAACCACTACACAAAAATAATTGGGGCCACTAAGATACAAGCTCCCTGTTTATAAAGGAACACGATAGGGTACCCTCTCCCCTACCCCCTTACAGTAAAAACTTTTTTTCGCTTTCAGAATTGATGATCTTAGCCAGTCCAATGCTTTCCCAGAGGAACATTGCACTGGCTAATCAGCATCTCCTCATAGAGATGCATTTAATCAATGCATCTCTAAAGGGAAAGTTCAGCGTCTCCATGAAAAGCGGGGAGACACTGAACGTCATTCACACTATGCAGCACTGCCCCAGGAAGCACCTCTTGTAGCCTTCTGAATATCTGCCACTAGAGATGTCCCTAGGCAGCAATGTAAACACTGCCTTTTCTCTGAAAAGACATTGATTACAAGAAAATGCCTGCATGCACATACTATACTCACCAGAACAACTCCTTAAAGCTGTAGTTGTTCTGGTGACTATAGCGTCCCTTTAAGTTGTGAAGCCTCAGAATTGGTATTTAAATGGATTTGAAGGGCTTGCACGTAGCTCATTTGTCAGTCTGGGGCCCCAGCTGACAGTCAGTGATACCTGGGGCTCCTTGATTTAGCAGCGATTTATCCTGCTAGTAATTGAATGCACAATGATCTTTGTGTTAAAGCTCTGCACTGCATGACAGCATACATCTTCATGTGGTTGTCAATGGGTTAAAAAACAAAACAAAAGTTTTATTTGCATAAATGATGATAAATAAGATGGACTTCAAGTCTTCATAAGTTCTCTTCAATACGTGAAAATCTTCATGACTTGACAAAAATGGAAATAAAAAAACAACCGCCCAAATCTGTGATTGTGAATATATCATTTGTATCGCTGCTATTGTACGTGGCTAGTGTTTCTACTGAGTGTGACCTCTTCTGCCTTAACTTTTTTTTTTTTTAAATTTCCCCACAGCTTCTTTGTATAAAGTGTACAGGATACATCTATTATTATTGTTCCTTTTGCAGAGCTGCTTATATTTATACAATAATACAAAGAGTTGGATGTTTCACTTTTGTTTCTATTCATTTGTGATGCTAACCAGTTTGTGTTTCTAGATCTGTTTAGTGGAGAAGTTTATCGAGGAACAGCTATTGCTGCGGATTCCAACATTTAACATGAATGCATTCACAGCATCACTGCAGTAAGTCACTGAAGTAGTTGTAGTCATTTTGTAGAAGCGTGCCTTAAGTGGGTACTCCAAGCTCGAACGGACCCCCTCACCCCCTACTAATTACATTAAATTGTACAAAACCAACCAACCCAAAAGATTTCCAAGATTTTTTTTTTTTTTTATGCAAAGTTCTACACATTACATCATCAGACTAGAGCTTTGTGTACTCCAGGAAATAGCCTGTCCAATTAGAAGCCTTTCACTCTAGTTTATGAAGTCTGAATTGTTGAACATGCCTAACCTACAACTGCAAAGGTTAAAGGGACAAAGTAGGCACTATAACCATTTAATTTACTTAAAAAGACACTATAGGGGGGTGGGGCTTGAGCCTCATAGCGACTGCTTCACATGAACTCCGGGCTCAACTGCCGATTTAAGCAGACTTTCACCAAACGACTAAAAAAAGAGACTCACCTGTCCTCGGACAAGTAGAGGTGGAAATTTGGAGGCCGAATTGGCACTATCTTGTGCAGCTGCCGGAAATCTTGGTGGGGCCTGGTAGAACTACTCGACAAGAGGGGCGACCGATCTCTTGTCCTGTGAAACACAGCATTCTCCCCCCCGATTAGACTCCTGACCTCCACTGGCTAGTACCATCCTGCTACACCACCTGAAGCAGATCTCAAGCCGTTTGGTGACTCAGAGCGTGAAAACTCAACGGTCAAAGTGGCCGCCGATGCCACTACCCCACATATGCACACCCGAGTGAATAAACTCCTCATGGCGTTTGACCGCATATGCCAGCTATTCTGGGAGAAGCTACATCGACTGAGACTTACCTCACCTCCCGCTGTTTCTGCCACTGCTCTCAGGAGCTGACCCGCCCAACGGGCCCTCAGGCCTAAACACCCCCAGTGGTTCCCTAAAAGGGACAGTGCAAAGGAAACTACGTGGTCCGAAGCTGCGAGGAACACCAACTCCACTTTGCACAGACCTCCAAAGTAGAGGTGTTGTGATCTGCTACGCCTCCAACTTTGCCAACCTGGCAAGGAGACACACGCATCAAGCTACCAGCTCTAATGCCTGGTGGCTGCATGAACAGCAGGGGAAGGCTCATGGAGCGCCGACACTCCTAAAAGCTCGGGGCCAAAGGCACGATCAGTGGCACCATCAACTCACGAACAAGAAGCAGCAGGACAGTCACCTACACCTCACACATCAAGCTCAAGAGAAAGTGGGAGCCTCATCGAGAGAGGAAAGGAGCTCATCCTTATGACCTACTTGCGGCATAGGGTGAAGTAATCTGGTGACATCTAAGCACTCCGAGTGCCCCCTGTTTGTACTCAGCACGGAGACCCAATCTCCTGCAATGTGTTCCAAGACTGACTGCTCCTTATATTAATATCTGATGCCCAGTGGTATTATTACTCCTTCCTCTGTCAGTTAAACCTTGTTTCTCCAAATTCTTAGTTTTTTTTCACTGACATGCTCACCACCCTGCTTACACTACATGTTGTTATATATTTTTTCACCTTCACTGAGATATAGCCACCACTCGTTTTAAACTATAGGCTATTAAAGGACCACTATAGTGCCAGGAAAACATATTCCCACCCTCAGGGTCCCACTCCTGCCGGGCTCTGGAGAGAGGAAGGGGTTAAAATCTTACCTTTCTCCAGCGCCGGGTGGGGAGCTTTCCTCCTCCTCCTCTCCTCCTTCCTAGCGACGTCATCGGCTGAATGCGCATACGCGGCAGGAGCCGCGCGTGCATTCAGCCAGTCTCATAGGAAAGCATTCACAATGCTTTCCTATGGACGCTGGCTTCTTCTCACTGTGATTTTCACAGTGAGAAGCACGCAAGCACCTCTAACGGCTGTCAATGAGACAGCCACTAGAGGCTTTAGAGGCTGGATTGACCCTCAGTGTAAACACAGCAGTTTCTCTGAAGAAAAAAAAAAGGGTTAATACTATCTGGGCCTGGCACCCAGACCACTTCATTAAGCTGAAGTGGTCTGGGTGCCTATAGTGATCCTTTAAGCATGTAGCTATATGTCTCTGCTCTGGCTTGTTATATAACTATGCAGCTTGTAATACGCATGTCTCAGTTATGCCATATAACCCCACATGTAGCATTTAGATGTGAAAGTTTAACTCTTGATGCAGCTATTACCTTAAAAAATTGTGCCGAAATATCAAATGTCACATTTTGCATTGTATATTGAATTTCTATATATATTGTTACCGCTGTTGTGGCATACTGAGGCTGTTTGTTAATTTGTGCACAACAAAAATAAAGAATTATATAAATAAATAAAAAGACACTATAAGCGCCCAGATCAGTTCATCTCATTGAAGTGGTCTGGGTGCAGTGTCCCCGTCCCCTTACCCCTGCAATCTAAAAAAAAATAATGCAGTTTTAGAGCAACTCCAATGTTTATATTGCAGGGTTAAGATTGCCTCTAGTGGCGCTTCCTGCTGTTTCACAGATTTTAACGCTGTTAAACAATGCTGGACGCTCTGCATGAGGACTTTCAGCGTCTTCAAATCCCCATGTAGGAAAGCATTAATTCAAAGCTTTCCTATGGAGAAGGCGTAACGTGCGCGCTGTGCTGGTCACAAATGAGCATTAGGTTCCCCCTTGGTGCTGACATTGGAGGAGGCGGAGCCAGCGCCAAGGGACTTTAGCACTAGAGCAAGGTGAGTGTTTTAAAGGGTATTAACCCTTTAATTGCCATGGATGAGGGTGGCAGAGAGACACTATAGTGTTCCTTTAAGTTATTCATAGTGTCTGGAGTGCTCTAGCAGCCCTCCCCATTCAGTGTTTAACCATTTCAAATCAGTTTGACACAGAGTAAGCATTCCTGGTCACTCACAGCCCAGCCCCTAATGGAGGTATAGCTAAGGCAGAGATTACACTCTCTTCTAATCATACCAGTTTATACCTGCATATATGTGGAGAGAAAAATAAAAACAGGACTCCAATGGCACAGTAAATCGGTGTATAAAATAAATATAACATTTACTCCATATATCCTTGAAGTGGGGATTATTCCACTTTACGCGAGCAATATCAGAGCTGATCCAAGCTCTGAAAAGTGTGAGTAAGACTGATTTTATACTTTTATATTTATTTTATACACCGATTTACTGTGCCATTGGAGTCCTGTTTTTATTTTTCTCTCCACATATGCTGAATTCTCAACATTTGAAGATACGATCCCACCTACACCCTAAAGAATATTCCTTTACAAGTGAGACCTACCCTCACGGACTGTGATAAGCCTATTTTATTGGACTATTGTTTTATTACTTATTTTATTCTGTATTTTATCTGACTAATTTAGTCTTTTATTTCATCAAGTTTTAGGCGCATCCTTATATCTCTGTTTGTTCTTGCTATCTGTTACCATTAGGGGATTATTGGGGACTCCCCTTTGAGGATTGCTGCCTTTCTCATAATTTTATTGTGGCAATTTAGCGCAGTTTTTTTCTCTTTTTCCAA